TCTGCAGACTGCATTGTGTAAACACCAAGCTTGAGAAAACATTTCGTTCCGGCTGCAGGAAAAATTGCTGACGCGGCACACTGAGGGTCCGTGCCCAGGGTCAGGCGGAGGGGGCGCTGCCGGGCGCACGGCTCCGATCGCTCTCTCGGTTTCTAAACTTAAAGTTTCTAAACTGGCGGTGCTGCGGATTGAGAGGAAAACTTGGCCACTAAAGTTGGGAGACTCGATTTTGGCACCCTGCTCGGCTATTGGTTTCCTGCGTGGCCCCCGTCAAGGCCTGCAGGTTACGTCCATGCTGGCGGCAGGCGTGGGTCTGGGCTCCTCCGCGGAGCCACGTCACCATGCTGGAAACCTTCACGGCCACCTCAGCCCATGCCTGGAGCTCTCCCAAGGAGGAGAGTCAAACACATTGGGAGCCAAAGCATGGTCTCAAGCTCCTGTTGAAGCAAACTGGACATACTGTCACAGCTGTGACCAAGCCCCTACCCATGGGCAGACACCCAGCGTCCCCACCACACCACAGCTACCTCGTGGCAGGACTGCAGCGGTGATGCCTTGACTTCGGCGTGGGCAGAAAGCGCGTGAGCCGTGAGGCGTAGCGGCCTTACCTCTGCTCTCAGACCACGCTCCCCTTTGCCGCACTGCTTGAGCCTCTCTGCACTTCAGCTCCTCACCTGTTGAAAGGGAAATCATATGCAATTTAGAGGATGAATTAAAGTTTTAAAATACACTGGTTGTGTGGTAGCAGAACTACCCAGAGACAACAAACGACGACTGATTTCAGACACGTGAAACTAGCCTGGCTGCTTCAAAAAAAAAAAAAAAAAAAGCCTCTTCTTCCCCCTTTGCTGTAATTTATTTCACCTTTCTCAATATAACAAGAGCCAAACTTCAGCTTGCAACTCTCTCTGCACCGTTGTGACTCAGGAGCAGGGGATGAGGGAGCGGTGCCAGCAGTATCCATAACTGTATGTTTCCTTCAGGAAGGAGCGGCAACTTTTATAACTCTGGTTACAGCCCACAGAGCTGTAACAGAACACGAAACATAATAAAAAACCCACAATGAAGTAATATGGCCGTTAACTCTCTTGCACTGGTGGCTTGCCTAGCAATCAACTGACGCAACACTCGGTCGTGATTCTGCAGCCTGCGCAAATATAAAACAAACAGACCAGGACACCGTCGTTAACTTAAGGTTAAGACCTAACAGAAAGCTACAACGCGCACAAAGGCTCATTACCACTCGTTACATATGCTTTGAGTTTAAAAGAGCGAAACAGAAGTTACGGGAAGTTATCGGCGGTCTCATCAGCTCCGGGTGTGTTTAAAACGCAGCGTGCAGCGAGATGAACAGGTGCAGGCTAAAGCCCGCTGCAGTGCAACCTAATCCGGCCTCTGCTCTTCTCCTGTGCCAGGGAGCAGAGACAGATGGCGCAGGGAGCTGCGGAGCTGCCTTTCCGTGATCTCTGCGGACGGACAGCTGCCCGGCGCGGGAAGAATTCTCCCTCCGTCGCCACCAGTTGCGCTGAATTCACGCCACCCCCGTCAGAGCCACGGGGGTTTAGCAGGACCCGAGAACCAAGCCTCAAGGTTTTTATTTGACCGTGACACTCCTCCTTAAACACACGAGTCATTCCTCTTATACT